GTCACCTATGACAGAGATTTTACTGGATAGGTATGAGGCATTCTTTTACAATTACATATAAGGGGAGCAACTTTTCATGTCCTAAGATAACCTTTCATTAATCATTTCAAATAATTTCAAAGGGCCCAAAAAATCTTCATTGTCTGGCTGGGAGCCCAATCAGTCTCAGTCTGCCTCTGGGTTATATAATGTCTTAGAGAGAAACTGTTATAATTACCATACATGGGCATGAAATACAGAGCTGTAGATATGTTCTGGAACTATTACTTTTGGATATATTTCTAACTTAGGTTATCAGAAAAGAAATAAAAAAATTACAGTGATTTCATTACAGCCATTATGTATGAAAATTATCATTTATCAGTGAGTAAAATATGTATTGTTCAATTAATATATTTCACAGCTTCTAAACACGCCCTAGCCCTAATTTCTAGAATGGGATTAGAATTGAAAAAACAAAGAAATTGTGACTGTGCAATGGTGACCACAAGAATCTTTGCTACTAGCAATGGATTACTTCTTTCATGGGCTATGCAAAAACTGCTTACCATGACTGGAAGCAAGGAAGGAGATCTCCACTTTCACCTCAACTACTGCTGCTAAAGCTGTGCTATTGGATTCTCTGCGACTTATTTTATCAGCCAGCCATTTTGTAAGATTGCTTATGAATTTGTAGGTATCAAATGAAGACTCTCCAGTTGTGGACTGAAATGCAAAGAAAAAAAAAGTACGTTTTACAATATATAAATATATATATTTCCCCTTTTTTCTTAAAATCTCACACACTCTGTATATTATTTTAAAATTTTAGTTTATTTCTTTATGGCTGTCTATACTAAGGAGAAAAAAAAATTCAGCAGTACATCCAAGGGGAGAAAAGAAGGCAGAGAAAATATTAAATGATATGAAGAAAAACATACATAAACTTATAAATATAATATACAGGCATAAATTTGCTGAACTACCTTTTTTATCACAATAATTTTCAGCTGGTTGCATAGGAGACCCTAATTTAAACACAACAAAGGTTCCAATTTTGATTTTAAGGTCAGCTAAAATATGACTTTTTTTTGTGCTTTAATGGAAAAGTTTTCTATCCAAAATACATTACACCTATCTAATATGTTACATCTAGTCTTAAAATTGTCAAAGATTTATTAAATATATTACATACTACTATATTTTTCTATTCATTTTGGGGAAAAATCTTCAAACAGAATCTTACCACTGCTACTTCAATGCTGTCTGATTCATCTTCTGTTTGGTCACAAAGAATAAAAACTGTGTAGTTTGATGTATAGTTCAGTTGTTTAGGTAATTTTCGTATCTGTACACACACACTTTCAACTGTCAGTCCCTAAGATGTTAAATATACACAACCAACCAGTCAATGCCTAGTAAATAATGAAGATATTAATTCTACATTTACCCTTCTTGTAACTTCATTCTTGTACAAGTACATTTGAATTAGAACAAGATTAATGCAGATGGAACTTTAAGTTTTTTGAAACAAGAAAGTAAAAAAGAAATAAAAAACAATTATATGTAGAAGTAATACTTAATTCTTAAAATTTTTTATTAATATAAAGATTTCACACTATTCAACTGTAAATGTTATAATTGATTATGAATAAATGTAGCAAAATATATATATATATATATAATAACAATTTACTGATGCAGGTATTTTTAGTTGATGTATGTCTTAAGTTTCAAATTTGACAACAACATTTAAGTTTGTATACAATAATTCTCTTTTAAAACAAGATTAATCAAAACTTGCTGTAAGCAAAATGTTTAGTATAATATTTAATGCTAACTAATCATTGACAAACTTATACTGACTGAGGACAATATGAAAAACTATCATCAAAACAATGGCAAACTTGTTCGAGGATGCTCTACATTTATCAATAGTTGTTTTATAAGTGTATTGGTTTTATGCCTTTAGAAAAACAAACAAGCCCAAATATCCTTCAAAATTGATAAAACTAGCTTATAAACACTTTATTTGGTGATCTTTTGTGGGATCACTTTTCTTTTTTTAAATTAGAAGTTTAGTTATAATAGTCTGTTTTCTAGGATTTCTTTTTAAATCAAATATTTAGTTATACATAGTTGAAAAAACACAACTACTTAAAGTGTCACAAATTAAAATTTTTACAGAAAGAGAGAATTTTTATACTCATTACAACCTGTTATTACACGAACTTATTTTAAATATTGGCAATATTCAACAGTACCTGTAGTATCTTACTATGGTTGAACACCAAGGTAATAGTTGCACAGTTGTTGTCTAATTCAGCCGAGTTTGGTTTACATTTGAGATTAGAAAGTAATACATCTGTGGAGCTTTTGGTTAAGTTTCCTGTGAGAGAACACCTTCCTCTTGAAGAACAAGGAGGAACAAAACAAGTGCTATCAAAATCAGGGACACATATTTGTCCTTGAGGACACTGATGAATCATATCACTTGTGAAGTTTGGGTCAGCCAAGCAGTTTGGAAAACCACACCAAAACTAATTAAAAAAAGGTCAAAGATATTATGTACTCTTGATCATTGAAAGTGAATGGATATTTTCATATATGATATTAAATCACGTGAATCCTTTTCAGATTATCAAAACATATTAATGTCTGAAAACATTTTTTTAAATAAATCTAACCAACTCTAATACAAGAAAACTACATATTTTTTCTAATATATGTGTATCACAAATAAGCTTACTTATAAATGTATTTAGGCTGGTTGTACCTGAAAGACAGTTTTAAGGGTAAGGGTGAATTATACACTAATGATGGGCTCCACTTAACAAGGCTAGATAGTAAGATGTATAGGAAAGATCTAAAGAAATTTAATAAAGACAGTTTAAACTAAACTCGCGTAGTGGTAAAGGAGATTAGAAAATTAGGAATAAGGAAATTGATTGGACAGCTAGAACAATGAGGAAATTGGAAAAAAGTTTTGAACATAAATAATAGTTTTAAAGACAAGCTTAGTTACTATTGTTCTAATGTTAGGAATTTTAAGGTTAAAATGGATGAGTTCAGGGCTCAAGTTGAAATGAAAGAGTATGATATTGTTACGTCTCCGTTTGTTAATTGATTTTTCCGTAACTTCG